AGTACATGGTTCGACCGAGAGGCGGCGCCGGCGGCGCGGTCAGTCCAGGTGCTTGAGGTTGTTGCAGTTGTCCGTGTGGCCGTTCGCCTCGGCGCGGTGAGAGGGCAGACGGCGCACGGTGAAGCCCATCGGGCCAAAGCACGCCTCGCTCTTCTGATGCCGAATGTTGCAGCGCGCCTTCAGGCTGCAGACAGACAAGTGGCTCCAGTCAGGCGCGCAGCCTCGTTGGCACGGTACTCAGCGTAAGTGAGCCCAACTGGCGGCCCGCCCGGCCAGGGTCAGCCGACGGCCGCCGTCACCCTCAGCCATGATCGTCTCTTTGAAACTCCAGCGGCTGCCATTCTGCAGCGCTCTCATTCTACCGAAATGGAGGCTGCCGCGGCTGAGCGGTTGCCGCGCTGCACACCAATGACCGCGGCAGACTGGACGGCAGGCCGGCTCACACGGCACACGCGACACCCCCCCTCACACCACTGGCGGCGGTTGGGTCAGCGTCGCGGTGAACGGGCGAGGTTGCGCCGGAGCTGCTCCGCGCCGGCATGCGGACACAGCTGATATGCTCACCAGCGATGTGGCATGGGGAAAGCAGGAAACTAATCCTCGTTTGAGTTGAGCTCTCCCTCGACATAACAGTACGGTTAACACTAACATTCGTGGAACGCGTGGGCCATGGCTCCGCTCCTCTCCCGCTCCCCAGCATGTGCAGTATTAAGGTCCAGCTGCCGTATTCATCAACACAATGGGACATGACTAGCATACTCACCCGTACAGCGCTTGGCTGTATCTGACGTACACGAAACGAATATACGAATACACGTACAAATTCACGAAACGCACGGGCCATGGCTCCGCCCCTTTTCCGCTCCCATGCATGTGCAGTATGAAGACCTAGCCGGCGTACTCATCAACAAAAATGGGACATAACTAGCATATTTACTCGTACATCACGTGACTTTACCTGACGTACCCCATGTGGGGCGTGGATGTAGCTGACCTACTGCCGGCGCAATGCGCGGACGAAGCTGGTGCGCTCACCATAGCGGTATGTGGCATTGCTCATCTTCTCACCAGCACAGCACAGCACGCTGAAGTAGCTGGCGTACTAAGCAGTACAAAATGCGGCTGTAGCTGTCGTACTCACTAGCATAACGCATGTATGTGGCCGGTTCACTCACCAGTGCAGTCGGTGGGCGCCCAGCCTGCTCACCGGCAGTGTGTGAGGTGCCGCTGGCGCGCCACGCACTCACCAGTACAGTATGTGGATATAGCTGGCGTAGCCGGCGAACACATGCCACCACGCGTGCAGCTGGGTGAAGGGTCGCAGCACGGGCGGCAGCACCGAGCGCAGCCACCTGGCGGTCGCGGCGCACGTCGTTAGGTCAGCATGACACCGAGCGAAGCGCGCCGGTCGCCGGCAGCGGCGGCGGCCCGCCGAACGGCAATGAGCCGGCGTCGCGGCTGGCCCGTCGAAACCAGGTGGCGACCAAAGGCCCAAACCGGCGCGACTTTCATTAGGGCCAATTGGTCGGGCTCGGCTGTCACCGCTGCGAATCGACGGCCGGCCGAGCGGCGCCGTCGCCGCCGACGCGGGCGTGGTCGGGCCGAGGGCGTGGCCGGCGGAGCTGGTGGTCAGGCGCGGCCGGTGCCCCGGCCTGTCGCCACACAATCGCCCCCGCACCCCAGCAGAGGCCGGGACCGCACCCGCTGCCGCTGCACACCGCTGTGTGATCGGTAACATACCAGGCCAGCCGTCACGCCGAGCAGTAATATACCGGTGCCAGCTGTCACGCCAAGCAGTGACATACCGGTGCCAGCCGTCACGCCAAGCAGTGACATACATGCCAGCCGCACGCCAAGCAGTGACATACCGGTGCCAGCTGTCACGCCAAGCAGACATACCGGTGCCAGCTGTCACGCCAAGCAATGACATACCGGTGCCAGCCGTCACGCCAGCAGTGACATACCGGTGCCAGCTGTCACGCCAAGCAATGACATACCGGTGCCAGCTGTCACGCCAAGCAGTGACATACCGGTGCCAGCTCACGCCAAGCAGTGACATACCGGTGCCAGCTGTCACGCCAAGCAATGACATACCGGTGCCAGCTGTCCGCCGAGCAGTAACATACCGGTGCCCGCTGTCACGCACACCGGTGCCCCCTGTCACTCCGAGCAGTGACATACCGGTGCCCCTGTCACTCCGAGCAGTGACACCGGTGCCCCCTGTCACTCCGAGCAGTGACATACCGGTGCCCCCTGTCACTCAGCAGTGACATACCGGTGCCCCCTGTCACTCCGAGCAGTGACATACCGGTGCCCCCTGTCACGCCGAGCAGTGACATACCGGTGCCAACTGCCCCGCCGAGCAGTGACATACCGGTGCCCCCTGTCACGCCGAGCAGTGACATACCGGTGCCAACTGCCCGCCGAGCAGTGACATACCGGTGTCCGCTGTCACGCCGAGCCGTTTAGTACCCGATTACTAAACTCCGCAAACAAACGCCACCTACCATGAGCAGCCAAAACACGGTCACTAATATACTGATACCCCGCCGTGCCGACCACTTACTCATATAATTACGCCGCACGCAAGTGCTTCCCGCGTCCTGGGCTCAATACTGGCAGTGTGCCACCGCAGGCATGCGCTTGTAAGGCACACAGACGTATTGCCCTCATTACCGACAACTGCAGCATTCCCCTACACAAACGCCGTTGGTTGTATGTCCGACTCCACACTGCCCTACACATGCGAACATTACACGTCCGCGGAGCGGTCGTGCCGGTGACAAAGCGTGGTTGACGCTCTGGAGCGGACATCGACCACAAGTCTTCAAGACGGCACCCAGCCGGCGGATCTGAAGGCCACGTCAGCGTGGCTGATGCTAATCCCCGCCGCACGACACGACCACAGCGCCCGAGCGGCGCGGACGACAGCCGCGGCCATGCCGGTGATGTCAGTCTGTGGTGGTCAGCACGGCTGCCCTGGCACGACCGCAGCGCCCGAGCGGCGCGGACGACAGCCGCGGCCATGCCGGTGATGTCAGTCTGTGGTGGTCAGCACGGCTGCTCTGGCACGACCACAGCGCCCGAGCGGCGCGGACGACAGCCGCGGCCATGCCGCTGATGTCAGTCTGTGGTGGTCAGCACGGCTGCTCTGGCACGACCACAGCGCCCGAGCGGCGCGGACGACAGCCGCGGCCATGCCGCTGATGTCAGTCTGTGGTGGTCAGCACGGCTGCTCTGGCACGACCACAGCGCCCGAGCGGCCGGACGGCAGCCGCGGCCATGCCGCTGATGTCAGTCTGTGGTGGTCAGCACGGCTGCTCTGGCACGACCACAGCGCCCGAGCGGCGCGGACGACAGCCGCGGCCATGCCGCTGATGTCAGTCTGTGGTGGTCAGCACGGCTGCTCTGGCACGACCACAGCGCCCGAGCGGCGCGGACGACAGCCGCGGCCATGCCGCTGATGTCAGTCTGTGGTGGTCAGCACGGCTGCTCTGGCACGACCACAGCGCCCGAGCGGCGCGGACGACAGCCGCTGATGTCAGTCTGTGGTGGTCAGCACGGCTGCTCTGGCACGACCGCAGCCGGCGCTGGTCTCGCCGGCGCAGCGCGTCCCCACGCGACACGGTCGCTCAGCTCCGCGCGATGGACACTGATGGGCCCTTATTCAGGTGCGCACTTAAATCACTGGTTATGAACCAGACCACGCGGTAAAAACAGGGTATCGGGACACGTCTGCCGTTAACGTCGTCGGGAGGATCACTGAACCGGACATTCAAAATAATCGCTATCTATTTACCTTTCACTCCGTCGAAACAATAGCGCGGAGACATTAAGCGACCAAATTCGGAGAAAGGATACGCCGCAGATGGAGCGAAGCAAAATGGCCAGTTGTCGGTGCTCGCAAGCATGCAATCCTGGTATTTCATCTCCACGCGCTATTATTACAACACAAAAAGCACAGGTCGACACGAGCTCCGGCGGTCAAGTCGCATGCGCCACGGTCGTGGAGCAGGCGATCCCTCCCGCAGTTCCCCAACCTTCGCCCGTCCCGCCTGCGACCCAGTGGCGGCCGGAGACCGAACCGGCGCCCGTGGCAAGGTCGGGACAGGGAGCAGCGCGCACGTGTCAGGCCCCCGCGGCCAGATAGATCCCCCGGCGGGCGCCACTGACCTGAGCGAGTCGCACGTGTGATTGTCCAGGTTCCATAGGCCGAACGCCACGGCGTACAGCAGCACGCCCAGGTAGAAGAGACGCCGCACCGTACGGTCCTTCTGGCTGCGCAGCAGGTTGATGTCGAGCAGCGTGATGGCCGACGACGCACTCCGTAGTTGACCTGGCGCAGGGCAGCGGCGGGGGCCGGTCACGGCCGGCATGGCCCGGCAGCGGGGCGGCGGCGGGGGCCGGTCACGGCCAGCATGGCCCGGCAGCGGGGCGGCGGCGGGGGCCGGTCACGGCCCGCATGGCCCGGCAGCGGGACGGCGGCGTGGGCCGGTCACGGCCAGCATGGCCCGGCAGCGGGGCGGGGCGGGGGCCGGTCACGGCCAGCATGGCCCGGCAGCGGGGCGCGGCGGCCCCGACCGGACCGGCGGGGCGGCGGGGGCCGGTCACGGCCAGCATGGCCCGGCAGCGGGCGCGGCGGGGGGCCGGTCACGCCAGCATGGCCCCAGCGGGGCGGCAGCGGCCCCGACCGGGCCGGCGGACAGCACAACCGCCTAGCCGCGCCGCCTCAGCCACGAGGTTGGGGGCGGGGTGGTCACGTGGCGGCCGGGCTTCGTCCTGCGTCCCAGCGCGGCACGGTTTCGTGACCATACATGCTATCGCCCTGCGTGGGGCACGATGGCCGCCAGCACCGTTTACATCGCAAACATGCTCCAGCCGTGGCTTGGGGCTTAACGTCTGGCGCCTGTTGCTAGGGTGGGGCTGGGGGAGGAGGGGGGGGGGGGGGGGGTCTTGGCCGGTCCATGACGCTGATAGGGAATGATGCGAACTATCGACGTGTTCATAAATGACAACCCAACACTCATAAAAGCATATTTTTACAATAATTTTGTGGACATATCCGTCCATCCTGCAGGCCTACGCTGAGTGCATCCGTGCGCCGCTCCCAGCAAGGAGAGCTTCTGCGTTCTGCACCAGCGGTGTTTGAGAAGGCCGGCAATATGTCTGCTCGGACCCGTCCGGTCGTCAAAGCAGACCGTTTGCCTTTACGGCGCGCATGGCGTTACAGGAATACTCCACATCTGAATATTGAAGCAACTATCAGATAGGCTGAAGGGAGCTCACTACAACTATTGGCATACTTTTAAGTGGAGGACTGCTCTCGGGGCACAATTTCTCTGTTTAGTAAATATCCTTTCTAATGCGTCGTTGATTACGGCATCGTGCTTTGCACCGATTGAGAGCCAGTTGATGGCCGTTTGTCTGGAAATCGCGCTCACGAACGCCAGATATGAACACGACAATTGTGATGGCCGCATGGCTGGTGGAATTGGTAGAATTTGAATGACGTTATTATGACGTCAGGGTTGCCTTGTGAACTTGAAATGGTCTCCCGAAATAGTCTGCACATCGGTCCGCAATAGGCCGCATCGTCTGAAAAGTCTGTACAAGGCAGACGCCCAAACCAATTGAGTTATCGGGACACACAAAGCTTTGCTGAAACTTCCCATGCTTTAGAACTTAGCATGTTCCACATTTGTAAAGGGGTTGCAACTGAAAAAGCCATCTCGAGGAACTTCGATGCAGTTCACCGCCCTGCCCTTCTTACGACCTAAACCCACTTAATTTCTGAGCTAACCCCCGAAAATATGCCACTATTTCATCATATCAAAGTCTATCAAAAGCCATAGGTGCAGTTTATTTCGTCACATTTGACGCTTACTCTGATTTGGTTCAAATGCGGAACCATCTCACTTAAACTGACGGTGTCAGTAACACAGGGCAGCCGCGACTAGTATTTATAACAGGGAAACAAAGAGCACGACGAGTGCTCATTCTTCCTCCTATATCACTTAACGCTTAAAACTGTAGCACAGCGGCGCACCCAGCAAACAAGCTCAGAGCATACAAACCAATCAAGTTTATCATGTTTTGAACACCCTTCTGAAAGCAAAAAAAAAAAACAATCTGGAGTGTTATCAAGACACCCCGCTCCCATGTGTTCCTTCAAGAACGTCTATTATTTGTTAGAGTATGGTTGGGACACCATTCTGAAGCAGCATTCTGGGCCGCACACGTCCACCTCGTCTGCCAGCCATTGACGGGCACTGGGCTCCGAGCGACGGCTGAAGCACACTTGCGGTGTCGACGCGCGGTTTGAGCCGGCCGCCTCCCCTGCCCCGGCTCCGCAGGCCGCGGTCAGGACGGACAGACGCACTCGGGGCACGCCACGCCAGCCCATCAGACACTGCCGGTGCGAGGAAACCGGCCGCCGGTACAGGAAAAGCACGCCCCGCGGTGCAGCAGCGCGCCGGCCGGACCAGGGCCGTGCCGACCTCCGTGGGAGACCGCCGGCCATCGGCGTGGCCGCGCCCTCCCGAGCAGCTCAGGGGTGGTGCGCGCCCCGCCGACCTCCGACCGGGCCGGCGACGCACCGCAGCGCACCGGACCGCCGCCAGCTCGCGAGGTCAGCTTCAGAGAGCACCTGTCCGACGGGTTCCCCGACCAACGCGCTGCACGACAATAACGTTTTCCCTCAAAATGTCCACGAAGTGACACAGATCCAAAGAGAATAAGCGATGTAAGCTTGCCATTACGACGTGGCCGAATGGGCATTCCCCACTGATCAGAACGATAGCATACGTTGCCCTTTCAGCCCGGCAGACAGTTGATGGATCACCGACACGGGCGCGGGGCGGGGGGGGGGGGGGGCAGCTAGGCGGAGAGGGGCATGGCTCGGATCGCTGAGGAGGCCTTGAACTCGGTGACAGTGGGAGACCCGAGGTGTAGGGCGTCATGCTACGCTTGCAACCCGACGACAAGGACCCATTCTAACTTCTCGAACTGCGTCGAGTGACGATGGACAATAGCTGCATGGGCGGCGTGGGAGCGGTGATACGGAGCGCTTCCACCACGCATGTGACGCAGAAGACGACCTGAAGGAAAACTGGAAACGCAATGTCTGTTAAGGCCCACGAAGCCGGGGGAAAGGGGACAGGGCGGTGGCTACCAGTGATCTTCGAAAAAGCACTTGTCCTGCGATGTAGCGTCGTAAAGAATACTTCATGATAACTAATGCTGTTATCAGAAACAAAAACCTCCTTTATCGTGATATCAAACATTCATGACTATAAAACGTGTGTAAGCATCAATCAACTCGACATTGCCATGCAGATACAAATAAAAACGACGCGAAACTCGTGTTACAAAACACTCAGCAGCCGTCAAAAATCATCGTAATATACATATATCACTGTGCACATATTTTCACTTAGATGCTACCATTTAAGAGTACAGTATTCTGAGCGTTGGATAGCTTCCGGTTGTTTGTTCAACCTTTCGCATGGTACACTTGATACTTCCAGTTACATTGAGAATTAGTTCACAGAATATGAGGTGTCTGCAACGTTCGTATATATGTATATACATATTTACACCTCATAGAATGATGTAAATCGCACCACTTCCGTACGACACCGCACTGCGTGCCAGCGGGGGCGCAGCGGAAGCGGAGGACTACAACAGATGGAGAGGAGGACCGACTCGTCGATGCCGGCAGAAAGCGTACGTGGGGCCGGTGTTCAACTTTCCTGCATTCGCACGGACCCTGTCCTTACGTCACTGGATGGGGGAGAAAGGGGGCATGACGTGCTAAGACGTCCGCAGCCCAATCAACAGCCGCGCAGTCGAGCGTAATGCGCGCAGATGCGGGTCTGTGGTCGATGCCTTAGCTATGTCAGACCGGGGATAAACACGAAAGCGAGGCCTACGTCACCAGTCACATGACCATTACGACCGGTCCCACAGCAGGCGTTACGATTCATCGGCCCATCAAGGCCACGCAGACGGCGCGCGCCGTCTGCTTCCGCCCGAATCGACGCGAGGCGATACGTCGTTTACCACGTGACAGGACGAGTTGGTCACGTGATGCCCCATGAGGCTGCGGGAAGGAGGCATTAGGGCAGTCCCAGCTGCCCACAAGCTGAGAGGGTCCCTTTCACGGGATCTACCGCCGAGCGCGTCAACGGGGCTGCGGGCGGCATTCCCGGCGCGAGCAGGCGGTCAGACCCGCGGTCGCCAGCGCGAACGGCCGTCCGGCTCCTGCCATCAGCGCGCGCTGACTCACCTGGTGGAAAATCGGGTTCGGGTACCAGAGGTACGACAGCGAGAACAGCGCCGAGTACACGAGGAAGGCCACCGATAGCCAGTTCAGGTGGCTGCCCTCCTGGATGCCGTGAATGCCGGCCCTGCGGGGCACACCGCGTCGTTACCGCCGACCACACCGTTGCGTCGCGTCGCCGGAACACCTGCTCAATGAATAGGAGGGGCCGGCCCGGCCGCGTGTCATCGATTTCACGCGACCGCACGCTCTTTCATGACGAATGGCCAGCCGTCAACTCGCCGCCAAACATCGCCGCCAAAATCTATTACATTCGGCCGCAGTTGATGCTGCGTGCGGGTCTGTTCCGCCAGCCGGCCAGCAGGCGCAGTGGGCCACGGCGGCGAGTGGAGGGCGAGCACCGGACGTGTTGGCCCGGCTGCCGCCCGCAAACCCAGCCGACTCACTCGGTCACCACGTCTTCGTCTGGCTTCAACGCCAGCCGCCAGGGCTACGTATAAATTCAGCCAGCGAGGAGATGCAGCGCCTCAACATAACTTTTAAGTTAGGATAAACAAGACGATGGCGGGCTAAAAGGCTCTACATTTCGAAATGCACATGCGCTTAACACTACTGAAATGCTGATAAGCACACTTAAAACTACTGACACATGCCCGTAAGCTAAGGTGATCCGCGCTTGCTCCACACCAAGCTCGACAAACAGTGGCGGCGCGTGCGGGTCACAGGTCGCCATCGACGCCCTGCGTCTCTCCGGGAGCCAGGGCTGGACGCGGCGAGGCGGCCCTCAAACCGGCCGGTAGGTGCAGCGTGGCGGCACCTAACACGTCTCCGCAGTTCGGGCCGCTGATCGGCCACCGCCACCGCGCCCTGCGCCAAGACGGCTGTCCGCATCGAGCGATCTCTGCCGCGGTGGACTTCCAGCCCAGACGGCAGCCGCTCTCACCCGCAGACGGCAGCGGCTCCCACCCAGACAGCAGCGGCTCCCACCCACAGACGGCAGCCGCCCTCGCTCCCAGACCGCACCGGCTCCCACCCACAGACAGCAGCGGCTCCCACCAACAGTGTGTGGCACAGTGTCGTCCGACCGCCCCGACGTCGACGCCACCCGTCCCCGGGACCGGCTCTGGCTCTGGCTCTGGCTCTGGCTCTGGCTCTGGCTCTGGCTCTGGCTCTGACTCTGGCTTTGGCACCAGTACCGGCTCTTTCTCCTGCCTCCGCAGTTGCACTAACTCCTGCTCCATGGTGGGCAGGTGCCGGATGGGACGACGCACTAGGGATGCACGAGCAGACCACCTGGTGCGCATCGCCGACGAAGCCGGTGAGGAAGGCGGGATTGACGGCGAGCCGCCCGTAGCGGTGGCGAGCGCGCACGCGGGCCGCGTAATGTCCGTCGTTCAGACGGCCGCTGTGCTTTACAACCCGAAACTGTCCAGCGACTCCAGCCTGCAACTCATCTCGTCCTCTTCCACACACCGCTCACGTTCTATTTCAGTGACACGTTACATACGGCACACTTTCGACGCCAGCGACCTCCGCCTGCACCGCATCTTGTCCTCTTCCGCAGCAAACACTCTAGTGATAATAACTTAGAAAGTAAATAATTGCACATTCCTAGCAGCCCGCATTCCCCGACCTACTTACTAAACCGGTACAAGCAGTTTGGCAGTCCCACAAAGTGGCCTATATGACTAGCAGTAGGTAATAAACTGCGAACACGTTACGCAATGTGTGCAGGCCTGAATGTCGGAATGCCAGTATGCCGGTATGACGAACTCGGGCGCAATATACACCGGGATATATCTTGTGCTTAATGCACCAAAATACAATATCTGCACAACACTACCACTGTGTGCATGTGTTAGGCACGCTTACGGGTAAATGTGGGCAATTTCATTTTGAATCAGCAGAAGCAGGGACTGAATTATAAACGATTAAGATACTTAAGTGCACGTACTAAAAACCAAGCCTACCACAAAAACCTGGTAACATCTCATTTCTTAAAACCAGCTATGATAAAAGTTCTCGGTTAGGCTTCAGACTATGTGGCCAGATTCCCGCACAGATTTGTTACATAAAACTCAAATGTCAGTGCTAGATGAGATCAACGTAAATCCCTGCACTTGCCCTGAAAGCTAAATTTACTGAGCACGACGCTGCAGCAACCAAGGTCATCAGGTTTCAAGAAAGCATCATGGGATTCTCAACACATAAGTCATCTCACAATCTGTTCAAATAGCAGCCGATACCAATGCCAGGCGGGCGTCATGGTAAGGCAGCTGCTAACAGATGAATTTGACACACCTGATGGTTGGTACGGAGTTATTATGATCGATGACCAAAATTCAATAAACGCATTTGTATTATCTGTACTTCTTTGCAGACCAACAGACCATGATTTCCTAACATCCCGAACATGAGGCAAGAGGCACTGAAGTTTGAAACGCCTACACCTCCGCGAAACAACCGCGCGGCTCGACGGTCCCAGTCTGGGGGTCGGGCTTTTGCTTCCAGACCGAGTGCTGCTGACCAACATGCAGGTCTAGTCATATCTCGCGTGAGATACTGCTTTTTTCAGTTCATGGCCAGTGGTCAGCTGTTAGAGGGTGTTTCCCACCCATGCTGTACGCTTCACTTCATGACGCGTATGATTTGATCAGAAATACCAGTTTTCTCGATATCCTTTTGAGTGACTCAAAATTTCGGTTTGAAGTAGTCGTCCCTGCGGGAGAAGTCTTATTCAATTCCCTGCTCTCCACTATGAAAGTAATACATTTCAGTCCCCTTACTTTTTCCAACGTGTGTTTTGTAATGTTTGCAGCGCCTTGATATGTAAAAATCTTTGTGTGATAAATACTACAAAATCTTGAAACACTACGTTCAGAGAAAAATACATGCGCGAGCATGAAGCTAATATCCTGCGAATTCAACGAAACGTTGTACAAAGGCCTTCACTTATCCGCTATGGCGTTAACCGGTGTCCCTTTTCGAGGCTCACTCTGGCTTTGGGAATGGCAGTATCATATGATGCATGTAACGCACTGGTTCAAACTTCAACCAACAAACTTCTGGTGACAGGCCCTTACCCGCTGCGCCCATCACAAACGCTCCGTTATTCGCACCAGTACAGCTGCGCACGGTCGTTATCATGACCACGGTGGCTGCGACTGCAGGGCAGAGGCGAAGTGCTGTTGCAAGGCGCTGACAGCCTAATTTGAACCCGAAAAAACCCAGTTTTTTAATTTTTTATCAGGTCTTAACGATGTTGTAATGGCACTACCAAATGCTATTATTAGACGTGACTACTCCTGAGGTTTCACTAGAATATGTTTTTGAAACATGCTCCAAAGGTGGGACACTCCTACTAACGAGCCAGACTGCTGACAGAAGAGACTTCGCTACCAGAGAAGTTACTGGCCTCCGAAAGTATGATCGTGTCTCGGGTGCGGGATGACCTGCACTTTGCCACGCCTCGCTAATGCATGAAGTGCAAACTGCTATCGCTGCGCATAAGGCCCGTTGGCGAGGTGAACCTGTAGATCTTGCCTGTTTGTTACAAACATACGCCGACACGCGGACCCGTGCCCGATCTATTCGCATGGACCATAACCTGCGCCCCCGGCGGTGCGCGCGGCGGCAAGACAGTGGTCCTTCGCGTACTGAGCGGCCTGTCCCATGAACGAGTTGCCGGTGGATGTTAGACAGCTGGATTTAACAAGCTTTAAGCGCGCTGCCAAGCCACTTTTTGTGCGAAAGGTTTATCTTATACTGTTTATGCCTACATACGTTTGTATGTTTTTTGCCCCTTATCTTTTTCCGTTGTTTTTGACACACTGTTTATCCCTCAGACTAATGGCACGGAATGGCCACGTATTTATATGGGGTATCAGCTGATGTTAAATACAAAAGGTCCGACGGGTCGCTCGGACCCGGGCCGACCGCGTGGCGGCGCAGGTCCGCCGGCCTTGTTTGCAGCCTCCCCCCGCGTCCGCGGGCAGCACTGGCTGAGCCGGGCTCTGGGCTGGCGCCACCGCCCGCTACGCCGGCGGCACGCCCCTCTGACCTCGTCGACGATGAGATAATTTGGCTGGCCGGATGGGCGGCCGGTTTAAACAGAACAATGCGCCGGGGTTCGGCTGCGTGCAGCGCTCGACGCGCTATTCCTCCTCAGGCGGAGTGGTCCGCATTCCGCCGCGGACAGAGTGGTCTGCATTGCGCTGCGGGCGGAGTGATCCGTATTCCGCTGCGGGCGGAGCGGTCCGCATTCCGCTGCGGGCGGAATGGCTCGCATTCCGCTCCGCTCCATACGCGCCGGATCGATGGCGTGTCGAGCGGGACGCGCCGCCAGGCTCGACAGGCCCGCGAGGCGGCTCCGCGCCGTGTCGGGGAGAGTCTCTGTAACGCCCGCACACCCGCCCGCTCGCACCGCACCGCACCGCACCGCACCGCACCGCCCCGACCCGACCCGGTCCGGCGCACCAGTGCGTAAAACTCATGGATTTTGAGCGGACAAAGATAAGTTATGCAGCCAATTTCAGGGTATCAGTCTTGGACTCCCCGTAATCTCGGTCTCCTATGCGTGGCTTACGTCAAGAGCTGGGGGTAACTATCGCGCCATGAACTGATGTGTACCTGATTTCATTACTTTTCAATCGTTTTAGACTGCTTTTGAGACCCTCACTTCGCTACTCTGGTTGCAGCAAACGTTCGTTCAAGTATTTCATCACCAGCCGGGCGCAGTTCGGGAGACCTCGCGAGCCTGCAATGGCACCTAACTTTTCTAGCTCGTCGCGGGAGCCGACATTGCTGCAGACTTTAAGTGGTTTAGGATGACGCATCAGTCAATTGGTATGCTCTACGTGGGTTATTGAGGTGTTATGTGTCAATCCCGCATCATGTTGACGACATTCTTGCATTCCATGTGACATGCATGATCTGGAAGAGGAGACCAAAATGACACCCGAACTGTGCTAGCTCGCAATGCTTTTAAGCCAACTGGTAATTAAAACTTAGTGGCATTTAGGACTTCCATGAAAATTGTTCTTTTTGCTACAATCACCACTCGACTTGCTCAAATTGGCACAGCACAATCTTGGTACAATCACAACACACATTGGTCCAATCACAACA